CCGGGATTAGAACCGGCGGCCATATGGGATCCCGGGCGTGCAAGGTGAGGACCTTTAACCACTTGCGCCACCGCTCTGGGCCCTATACATTTGTTTTGTTATGCATTATCTTATGTTAATAGATTATGTGTGCATGACACACATATATATATATAAAGCAACCAGAGTTAAACACTACTCACTTCCTTTATAATCCTATACATTTTTTGCTGCTCATTTAAAAACATGGTTCTGATTCAAGAGGTTGATGGTAAAGAAGACTCAAGTCATTCACTGACCAAGAGGGATTAGACGTTTTCAGTGTACTAAAGTGTGTGTCTGGGTTGGGAAGAACTTACCACCAGTCAACCGTGTTGTGGCACAGAAAGCAAAGCAGCTGCTTGCAATGCCTGCTTTTGTATTGGAGTATTGGTCACCCCACTTTGTGCTAATTCATCCAGGGAGGCAGCAGATGGTTCATGTTTTGGGCCTCTGCTGTGCATGAGGGACATCCACATGGAGTCCCAGGCTCCCGGGCTTTCCAGGATAGAGCCTGGTTGATGCAGGGATTTGGGGCGTGAAGGAGCAGATGGAAGACATCTCTCTGCTTTTCAAGCAAGGTGTAAATACAGTAACATTAAAATGTCTACTTTCCAGTTACCGTGTCCACCACCATGTGTGTCTATTTTCCATGGTGTGTGTGTGTGTGTCTGTGGAAAGTCTCATTAGTGTCTGCCTCATTTAATCAATTATTTCTCCCCTCACCAATGTAACGTTAAAGTACTAAGCTCTACACAACAGAAGGGAAATAGCAGTAGACAAAACAGCCATGGGCAGGAGGCGGATGTCTAAAGAAAGAAGCATAAGGTCAACAGGGAGGTTGACAGGAGTGCTACAAAAGTGAGAGCAGGAAGCTAAAGTATGAGGGTTCAGGAAAAATTGGCTGAAGGAATGGAGGTGCCAGAGAAAACACGTGATGTGTCAGAGATCACGAGGCTGGCCAGACACATCCTGAAACTCTACACAGAGCGTCACTGTTCCCTGCTCTCATGCTGCGAGCTGGCCCACCTGCCAGCCCGTCGGCAAAGGTCACTGTTGTGCGACAGGCCTGCACACCACACTGTCATTCCTCTCTCCTTAGCAGCTGGCTTGCCCTGGCTTGAAAAGACAAGTTTGTATGGAAACAACCTAGAATTAAAATCACTCCAGGGATCTCTGCAGTAAAAGGAACACCCCCAAGGCCAAAGAAATCATGCTTTATTGGATTTACAAGGCGTAAAATATTTGTAGTTCCTTAGACATTTGTATTGCTATAAAATTAGACTTTATCATATAATTATTAATGGTTTGAAGAGAAATAAACAGTATAAACAAAATATGGCCTATACTATGAAAATGTAAACTACATAAATCAAAATCATAAAACAATTATTCAATACCCAGAGGCCTACTTAGTATATACATAATCAATGGCTTATATACATGCTCAATAAAAGCCCCACAAAACTATCATTTTGAAGTCAAATATGAAAATAAATCTTTATCTTTAACCTCAATTTTATCTTCAGCAAGAGGGCTGTGCAACTTGGGTTTATGCAAATCACATGTAGTATTAAATAATCGAATGTCATATCTGTCATATAAAGCAGCGCATGGAAAAAAATAAATTATGAAAACGCACAGGGCTTGAAGTTAACAGTGAAAAATATCTCCTCATCTGACACGATTTCCTATAATGAAATTAAAATATTATCCAATGTGTCAGGATACATAAAAAAGAGAATATTATAATTTTAAAAGCTCTCAAAGGAAAAATAGAGACAAGGTGCGTTACTTCTGTAAGAATATGCAAATATTTCAAATAAAGTCTATGATAAAAGCATTAACTGTTCTTACCAAAACACATTTTAAATTTGATGCCTCTATGAAATAAAAAACAATAATCATGATCTCCCAGCAATGCAGCAAAGAGCTTTAAGTAGTTTTTCTTGAGACTGCTAACAAAAGTTATAATTCGAGATTTCAGAGCCAAAAAATTGATCCAGATATCTAGGTTAAAAGAGGCCTAATTTGTTTGTCAGTGGTCCCTATGAGATCTCATTGATTTGGCTGTACTGGGGGTGCAATGCAGAGACACAAACACCAGAATAATATTTCTACATTAGGAATACTCATATTCACAAACTGTAGGACAAATACAAAGAGACACTTTGGAGAAAATAAATAAAAATAACGGAATAAAACATACACTATTACAGTTCTGTGTAGCTGCACCAAACACGTGTCACATTTATCAACATGTACATACCAGGTCTCCTCTCACCTGGGCTCAAGACAAGCCCGAGACAGACAATGATTATTTCATCAAGCCAGTCACCCACACTGTCATGTTCCCTTTGACAATGCTCTGTAAGCACAGAATTCTTTTTAGATAAAGAGCTGCTCTTTTTCTCTGGAACCAAAGCATATGAACTAAGGAACAGGAATTCATGGTAGCATTATTGAGGAGTAGTTTCAAGTTTTCAATAATAAAAATAGTAAATAGTTCAACAAGGAGAGTCACATTTTTATAAGTCAGTGTTGTGGCCATTTAAAATCTTTGTGTAAAATGTATCTTGATCACTTTTTTTTTTATTTTTTACAAAAGATTTTTTTAATGGGAAGGCAGATTTACAGAAAGGAGAGACAGAGAGGAAGTACTTCCATCTGCTGGTTCACGTCTCACATGGTCACAATGCCCAGAGCTGGGCCGATCCCCAGCCAGGAACCAAGAGCCTCCATCCTCTGCTGCTTTCCCAGGCAACAAGCAGGGAGCTGGATGGGAAGTAGAGCACCCAGGAAAAAAAGAACTGGCACCCATATGGGCTCCTTGTGCTTGGAAGTGGAGGATTAGTCAGCTAAGCCAATGAACCAGACCCCAGTCCCAGGCATTTTTTTTTTAAGGCAGAGTCAGTAGGGAGAAGAGAGAAACAGAATATTTTCCTTCTTCAAATAGTTGCAATGGCTGGGGCTGAACTGGTCCAAAGCCAGGAGCCTGGAACTCCTGCAGTTCTGGCTGTCTTCTGCTGCCTTCCTGGATACATCAGCAGGGATCCAGGATTGAAGTGGAACAGCCAGAAGCCAAACCAGCACCCATACAGGATGTCAGCACTGCAGGTGGAGGCTTAGCTTGCCACACCAACGCACTGGCCCTTAACTTTCCATTAAAAAAAAAAAAATGAAGCTTAAGCCATTTGATGATTAAGGCATAAAAAAAAAAACCCTCACTATATGATATTAATTCAACAAAAGACATTAGCTTATATAATTAATACCATCTAAGTTTTAAATTGGCTCGAATCTCCTGTTGTAAATAACTTTGGTTGTTTCAGATCACTGGAAATCAAGTCACTGGCTGTTAGAAACATGTCTGTGGGGAGTTTGGGAGGTGGTGCGCATCCTAGGACAGCAAGACCTCCCAGGTCATTGAGAATGAGTCACTAGTCATGTAAAATTACAGGCTACATGCTGTGGTTTGGATGCCAGTTTGGGTGCTCCATAAAGGATCATGTATTAAAGACATGGTCCTCGGAGAAGTACTATTCAGAATCACTAAAACCATGAAGAAGTGGGTTCTAATCAGAGATACTAGTTCACTAATGGTAGGCCTTGGGAAGATAACTTTTGGCTAGTTATAAAGGCTGGAGTTGAGCCTGGCCACTCTAATTTTTCCCTTGACTCGCATGAGATCATTATTTCTTCCATACATTTCTACTCCGCAGTCAACAGGATGCCCTATTCAGAAGCCAAACCGGCAGAGCCACCTGAGCTTGGACATGCATCTCCAGAAGATTTAAGGAGAACAACACTGGTGACTAGGGAGGCAGGAGTATCGCATTCGGTGGAAGATCACCCATTGAAATCTTGAGAACGTTTGGAATAACAATGAATATTGTCACCTGTCAAAAGGCGACATCATTTTAAGCGTTGATATTTTCTAAGTGAGGTGGCAATTCACATTCTGTAAAGCTTACACTTTCAGAATATGCAATTCATTGGCCTTCACTGCATTCAAAAAGTTATGTGACTTTTACCACTATTCAGATTCTAGAATATATCCACTAGTTGTCACTCTTGGTTCTGTCATTTTTTCAGCCCCTAGCAACCAATGTCTGTTATACACACACATATACATATACACATTTTTTAAGAAAGATAACTTTCCTAGGCATTGCTTATTGCATTACATGTTCTCACTAGAATTTAAACACTATGTAAGCCATGGATTTCATACATCTGTGACATTAGAAAATACCCTTTCTAAATAGAACTACTTCTGTGTCAAATATATTTTCTTTATGTATATAAAAATATTTTTTCTGCTTCCAGTGGAACCTAAAACATTCTTTTTCTCTACTAAATTCCTATTTCAGAAGAAAGACCCATACAGAGATCCTAAAAAATAAATAAATAAATCAGGAAGAATTAGTCCTGTAGAAACTTTGATTCTTGAGCTTCTTCCTGTGGCTTGAAGTTTTAGAGAACTTTGGAGAGGCTGAGGCCTTCAGAGATAAGCTAACTGATCCGCAGATGTCAGCTAGGGATAGGTCCAGGATCACGAGGCTAGTTAACAGCAGGGCTGGGATGAGAACTCCCTTTGACCGCTGCCCTAGTATCAAACATTTTAACTGAGCATGGTCTTAGGTTACCAACAGTGTCAGCAATCACACCAATTTGATTATCCCATTATGCTTCTCCTAAAGCTTTGATCTGTGCATGTGAGCTTTCTAATCACATTAAAATACGTACACATATTTTATAAGACTCTGTAAGGACAAGTCTATTTAACCAGAAGATCCAAACGGTCCATTGAGGTATAGCAAAAAGCCAAGGTCGCAGACAAATCCAAGGGCCTGGTTCTCATTTCCCGGTTTCTCTCTCTCTTTGCAGGACCGCATCAGGAGGATGCTCCACTCACTGAAGATTCAAACCCATCACAGCAGGCAGGAATGACAACTTCACATCCCAAGGCCATTCAGCATTTAACCACTACAACAATTCTTCATCTGCACTGACTTTTTGGAACTGTTTCCAGTCAGGTTGGTAATGGATTTGCTATCCTCCTCCTCAGTTCGTTTTTTCACTTCCCTGGAAGAGGGAAAAGAGAGTGAGAAAGGGTTTAAAACCACACTAAGCCACCATCAGCTCTGTAGATACAAAAGTAAGTGTAGCAATGTCGAGTGCTGGCTTGAACTAAAGGCTGTATGGGTGTTACCTAACCTATGCTTCACAAGAACCACATGGCTTTATTGTGCTTAATTTCATACATAAGGAAATGAAGGTAAAAGAGGTTGACTTTTCTTTAATGCAGAAATGGGATGCACTTGTTTTAAGTATCAGCCCCTATCACAAAGTCAATGCTCACACAGGTGCACATGCACACTCTCTCCACTTTGGCTCTTTTCTGACAATACAAGCTGCTGTATAGTCTGCCCTATACATAGCTCATTTCTTAACACATCAGATCGTGCCTTCCATCTCCAAGCAAATCTCACTGTTGTTAACAATGTTTTAAAGATTTTTATCGTAAAGGCAGATTTACTGAGAGAAGGAGATACAAAAAGATTTTCCCTCTGCTGGTTCACTCCCCAAGTGGCTGCAATAGCCAGAGCTGAACTGATCCAAAGCCAGAAGCCAGGGGCTTCTTCTGGGTCTCCCACATGGTTGCAGGGTCCCATGGCTTTGGGCCATCCTCTATTACCTTCCCAGGCCACAAGCAGGAAGCTGGGTGGGAAGTGGAGCAGCTGGGGCAAGAACTGGTACCCACATGGAATCCCGGCACATGCAAGGCAAGGATTTAGCTACTAGGCCATTGTGCTGGGCCCAGCAATGGCAGTTATTAAAATCATGCACTACTTACACAATAAAGAAAAAAGGATAGGTAAAATTAGGGGATGGTACCTTCCTTTTGTCTCCCTTAAGTTTCTTGTTTTATTTAAAGTTAGAGTGAAGAACAGAGAGAGACAGGATCTTCTAGCTGCTGCTTCACTTTCCAAATGTCTGCAATGGCCATAGCTGGGCTGATCTTAAATTGGGAGCCAGGAGCTTCTTCAAGGTCTCCCACGTGGATGCAGGGGTCCAAGGAATTGGTCAATCCTTTGCTACTTTCCCAGGAAATCAGGAAGTGGAGCATCTGGGAAACAAACTGATGGCATTATGGAATGCCAGTACCAGCGGGCCTCCAGAAAAATTAGCTTTTGATGCCAAGGTGCTAGCCCTGCTGAACTAACATTTAAGGCAATCCTGACAAACAGAAGTCTCTCATTCTTTAACATCTTAAAAACTCCGAAGCAAAGATCCTTCCAAATGTTGCCCAGAAGATGCCTGTGGAATGGGAAGACGCTGAAGTCCCACCTTAGACATGAATGGCCATCCCATGGAGAGATAAAGTATTACACCATAACCCTAATGGTCTCAAGCAATGCTCCCCTCGTCAGTGGCTGCTGTTCCTCCATCATGAGGAGTCCTGCCCTTCTCTACTCTGACAGCACTCAGCTTGCTGAGAACAATCTGCAAGTCATGCAGTGACTGCCAAGCCCAGGCACCATTTCTGACCATTTCAATTTCCTTTTGCTGGCTTCAGCTGCCTTTGAAGAAATCCAGATTCCTCAATGGACAAAGGCCCTCGAACGGCAGTAGAGAATTTGATGCAACATGGGTAGAACCTATGGGAAGAGGAGTACCCTGGAGTTGGGCATCCAGTCCGAGTCCCAATCTCTGTGCCATCTGACCACATGTCAGATAATAGTTGAGGAAGCTTCCAGCTAACAACCAGCAAATTCTATCTGGAAGATACTTTAAAATATTGGGGAGGACACAGTAGCAGGGCAAATAAAGCCTGCCTAAGGATTGACATTCCATCAGGACCCTGGGTTAAGTCCTGGCTGCTCCACTTCCGATCCAACTCGCTGCTAATGTGCCTGGGAAAGCAGCAGAGGATGGTGGTCCAAGTGCTTGGGTCCCTGCACGTACTGGGAGGCCCAACTGAAGCTCCTGGCTTCAGACTGGCACAGCTACTGTTACCAAGGCACTTGGGGCATGAACCATCGGTTGAAATATCAAGCTCTCTCCCCAACTCTCTAAATAAGTAAATCTTTTTAAAAAGAAACTGTTTTAAGCAACTAAGTTTATGAATATGCAGCAGGAAACTTGGGACTCCTGGGAATCTGCCTATTTACAGTATAACAATGCTGTTGGACAGAAACACAATTTTTTAAGGTTTTTTTATTTGAAAGGCAAATTTTACAGAGACTGAAGGAGAGATAAGAGACAAGGTCTTAATTCACTGATTTCCCAGGCCATAAACAGGGAGCTGAACTGGAAATGGAGCAGCTGGGACACAAACTGATGCCCATATAGGATGCCGGTGCCACAGGGTAGAGGATTAGCCTGTGTGACCATGATGCCGGCCCCATGTAAATTGGGGTGCCTGGCCCCAAACCTTTACCCCACACCACTCAATGCCATGTCTGTGTCCCCTGCTTAGGTGATGACATGGTGTAGTTACTCAACAAAATGTTTCATCGCTACCAATGTGATCTGAAATATGTCGCTTTGCATTTTATAGCCACACTAAGTTGAGAAATACACAAATTTCAATATTGTAATACTTCAAACCCAGCAAATATATTTCAAAATGTAATCAATTATTTTTAATGAGTATGTAATGTATATACTATGTTCAAATCCCAGTTTATATTGAAGATATTCAGTACAACTGACCACAGCAGGGTCTCCAAAGACCAGAGAGAATGGTTTTGGAACTGGATCTCTGATTGCCTTAAAGGGACCATGCAGTTTTGGGTGGATTAAAGAAACTACACGCTAGATGAAATGTAAGTAATATCATTTTTTTCCTCCATGATGTCTGCTCCAGGTTTGTTAATGTCTCTATTACCTCTGCTTAGCATCTTCATAGTCCCATGTGGAGTTACCAAGAGAATAAAAGACAGGATTTGAGCATTAACATCAGCAGAAAAAAATGAAAAGCTTATGGAAAATGCTCATTATCTTTTATTTGTATTTTCCTGCAATCTTTCATATAAATACTCCTAAGGTATGTTGTTGGAAAAAAAGCCATTGGATTTCCCTGAAGCAAGAATCGCAGGCTGTTGTATGAGAAGGGTATGATTATTATACGCATTTTACAGATAATTAGGGATGAGAATGCTTCATTTTTGTACTAAACTGACACGTGGCCTGACTTTGTATTTGCCTCTAATATCCGGCCACTGATAAATGCCTTTTGAACGGAGCCTAATACAAAAAGTTTAAAGCCTCTGATTCTGGTGTTGACTCCTATATCAATGGAAACAATCTTTCAGCCTAGCAAGGAAGTGGCACTTCTGGGAGAAACTTTACCTGGGATTGAGTTTTCCAAGAAAGAGCCGAGCGGTTCAGTTTGTTAACCAAACACTTATGTCCTCTATTCAAAAATCAACTCACTTCCTGTCAATGCAAACCTGTGCATTCGTTAGTCTAAGTTTGCTGACATTTCTTGGCATAGAAGGAACAGAAATTTAAATCAATAATCTGCAAGTTTTATAATGTAACTTTCCAATGATTATAGGACTTTAAAAATTGATCATTTTGTCCACAAATACTATAACATTTCCATTTAGGGTGTGGTTATGTTGACAAGCATCTCCAAAGGCAGAAAATATTTTCATATGTCTGCTTTATTTCTACATTTAACAATATTTATATAACCAGAGGCTTGAAATCAGGCCATAAAACAATAATAAAAAAATAATGTGCTACGATAAATGATTCACAAGTTCAATTTCTTTGTCTAAGGCTTAAAAATAACTAACCTGACACTACTCGGCTGAAATGACCTTGTTATCTAAACACCTTTGCACACCAGTTGGTGTAAGTAAATAAAAGTTAGTGTCTTAGCCTCTCCAACAGGGCTGATGTCAGGCTGATCAAACAAACCACACAGAAGGAAGGCACAGGCAGTTTAGGCCACTCCCAACTTTATGATATAATAAAGAATCGATTCTGCAGTATGGGTGGGGCTGGAACACTCTGGAGCCATTTAACCTTCTTGTGATCTCCTAAGACAACCGAATAGCAAGCAATCAGTATGTTATTTAATGGAGTACAGGCTAGAACAGAAACGATCTTCAGAAAGCATGCCAGGATAGTGCTGCCTTGAGGATTTATGGATAGGCTTCACATATTTGGACAGACCCTTGTGGGAGACCCAATGGAGCAGTTCTAGTGATGACTAAAGAGATGATTTACATGTTAGTCATTTCACCCACCTGAGAATCTATCTTGGGGTTTCAGACTCTTCACTATGACACAATATGACTACAGGTGTCCAAGAGAAAAACAGGAAGCAATTTATGCCCTCATCCTCATTTTTAAGGTATAGAGACTGACCTCAGGAAGGACCCAGGCTATGCAGCAACTTCCTCCTCCCATAACCTTAGGATAACATCTACAGTTCTCTACCAGGTTGAAGCCTTAGGTATGGGGAAGAGTGAGCCAGAACTAAGCCCACTTTGCCCAATTGAAGGCTGCCTTGAATCAGGCTCTCATGCTAGGGTTATCAAACCCAGTCCTTAAAAATGGATGCGACTTAAGCCTGCCAGCTGCTGCCCAAGGGAATCTCCATGACATGCTTCAAATAGAAAGATAAGAACACATATCCAACATTTTTTGGATGAGGTCAGACAACTCTGGATCCAGGTCAAACAGGGTTGGAATTTCTGGCCCAGCAGTGGGTCATGGTAACCCTGGCTGTTCTGTTTCTTTGGATCCCATACTCTGATTCTCTTAACATCATTTATCTTTAATGAAGCAGTTTATTTTTGTCTCTAACAAAGCAAAATCGGTCCAGCTCCAGATGACTGTGAGCCATAGCTTCCAATCTATCCCATCGCCCAATGGGACCCGTCCTCCTGACCCTGCAGGTTAAGCTTTTCCAAGGTCATCTTCAAACATTACAGGACAGACACCAAGAGAACAAAACTCACCAGGAGCTCTGTGCTCTCATGTCAGCTTGATGGCCCATTCTACCCCCTTATGATTACAGGTTACCTCTCTTGAAGGGAGAGTGTTAAGGTAGCTAGGTGTGCATAAAAAGGGTTGAAGAAATTCTTGAAGAAAATTGGAATTTCTTTTGTTCTGTGGAATGATGAAAAATACTCAAGTCTTGAAAAGCGGATCAGCATTTATACATCAAAAGTCTTGCTCTGATTGGATCAACTTGTTGGGTGGGTTCCAGCCATCTCCTGAGGACAGCTTGGGGGACCCTTCCAACTCCTTCATAAAGGGGGCTACAAAGTTAATTATGAAGCTCCCAGGGGAATTCCAGGAATTATAGGATGCCCCCCTAACCCAGTGATATCACAGATGGGGCCAAGGTAGGAGGAATGGAGGACCCATAATTTAACCCAACCTGAATACAGACAAGGTTGTCGGTTCTTTACTAAGATGTCCTCTTTGCTCCCTGACCTGCCAGGTGTACACTCTTCATTAAACTTTGCTAACACAATGAAAGGAAGAAAGAAGAGGAGGAGGAGAGGGAGAGGGAAGGAAGGAAGAAGGGAAAAGGGAGGGAAACTGCATAGATTTCACCTTTTTTCATCAAAATAAAGTTAACTTTGCATTCCATTTTCTGAGAACATCTGAAGTCCCTTCATCATCAGAATCAGACCGTCACAAAAGATCTGAGATAATTTTATTCACCCCCTTTTCCTCATATATTACAAGATAGACAGGAGAGTTTCAAGACTTCTTAACTGTTTAAGGAGAAGACTCAAGAAATTCCAATCTCTTTATATTGCAACTATTAAATATTATGGACCACAGTAAGTTATCAGTATATAAAAGGGCTTCCAAAAAGGTTGTAGGACAAAATTTGCAATGTTTATTTTAATACAAAGATATCTAAAACCCATAAATATGAGGGTTTTTCAAAAAGTTCATAAAAATTGGTTCTATAAAAAGACTACGCAGGCATTCGAGACTGTTTTGCAACAAAATAAACTTTTGATTTTTTTCACAACTATTTTGAAGCATTCTGCCTTGTGCAATATCAAGCTCGTAACTTAAACACTTGAGACCAGAAGTGCTTCACATGTCTTAGCCCAGCACCAGCTGAGCATCACTAATCCACAAAGCAAAACTCCAAAAAAGCTTCTAAAAGTTATTTGAGAGAGAGAGAGAGAGAAAACTCTTACCAACTGGGTCACCCCCACAAGTTTATGTAATAGCCAGTACTGAACAAAGCTGAAGCCAAGAGCCAGAACTCAGTCCAGTGCTACCACATGGGTGGCACGAATCCAACCACTTGAGCCAAACGCAGCTTGTTTGGTTAAAATCATTGGTCTTCCCTATGAACTGAAAACCTGCAGAATCTGTTATCTGATTCACCATACAGACTCATGAAACTTCATGGTTTTTTTTTTTTGTCCCCCCAAATAAGCTTGTTTTTTCATTCCACTTGACACAAACTTGTTTTAAAACAAGTTTTGTTCATTTTATTTGAATGTCGGAGTGACAGAAAGAAAAGTCTTCCATTCACTAGTTCACTCTCCACATGGCCTCAGTAGCTGGAATGCGACGACACAGACTTGGGTACCAGGGTCTTCTTCCAGGTCTCCCACATGGAAGGACTGAGGGCCTGAACCATCCTCCACTGCCTTCTCAGGCCAGAGTCAGGAAGTGGGATCAGAGTGGGGTAGCTGGGATTCAAACCGGGGTCCAGAAGAGATTTTGGTACTGGATATAGAGGACTAGCCACTACGCTGGTCCCTTCCCACAAAATTCTTAAAGCACCCCCATATATAGGTTTTACTTGGGTACATTTTTACTAATGATATTAGTTCATGATTTCCTTCCTAATTACAGGTCAAAGAACTTGTAGTTATTTGAATCTGTATATTTGCCTTTTTTCCCTTCTGTTACAAGAGGTAAGCTCTTCCTGCTTTAAACAGGAGCAACGGACAGTGTTGTTGGGGGAGGAAGGGAGATGGCATATTTCTTGGACTGATGTCAAGGGGAAAAACGTTCAGAGACAAGTTTGCATGAGGCTCAGGTCTTCTTCCAAGTCCTGCCACGAATAACAGCAAGGAGGTCACCTGAAGTCCTGACACTTGTCTCCTGCTTGTCTCAAGTTAGGGCAACAGTCCACCCTGAGGTTCTAGTTCAAACATTGCAACAGAACACTCGTCTATTCAGCACTATAAATGCCAAGGCATTACTTCAAAACCAGCATTCAAAATACAGTAACCGTCAAGGTTTACTAGCTGCGTAGGTCAAGGGTCCCAAAAAGAATCTTGCCAAATCTCACAAATACTCAAGGGTGTAATTGTACATTAAAAATTACGCTTTTGCTTTGTCTGCAAATAGAGATTGTTGTCACAAACGTTGTTAATGCCTACTTGGAATTTTTTCCCTTTTGTGTTTTGAAAATTAAATTCCTGTAGGCCAGCTGAGAATTTGCTGCAGAAGACTAAGCAAAATAGATGAATTTAACAGCTATCATTGTCATTTCTTAATAGTACTTCAGGAATTAAATATTTGGAGCCTGACATGATGGCCCAGTGGTTAAATCCTCTCCTTGGGCTTCAGTTCTTACCCCAGGTGCTCCACTTCCCATCCAGCTCCCTGCCTGGGGTCTGGGAAGGCAGCAGAGGATGGCCCAAAGTGTTAGGATTCTGTACCCATGTGGGAGACCCAGAAGAAACTCCTGGCTCCTGGCTTTGGATCAGTTCACCTCCAGCCATTACAGCCACTTGGGGAGTGAACCAGCAGATGGAAGATTTTTTTGTATCTCCTTCTCTCAGTAAATCTGCCTCTACAATAAAAAATAAATCTTTGAAAAATGAATATTTATATCCAAGTTCTTAAATGATGTCATTTGTATTATAATTCATATCAAAAACCATTACTATTAACACTAGACGTCAGCCTAATAGCTTCCTAGGCACTAATCATTCTGACACTTGCACACTGTCCCACTATTTTTTCAACCTGGGAACATGTTATCATAAATAGCTATATTCATAGTCTCTTGTGTTTAAAATCTAGTTCTTAAAAAAATCAGTGCTGTAAGTCAACACTTAGCTTTGTTATGACATGCCCAACCATGTCAGTGGCACCTCGGCTGGACCTGCTGTGCTTGGCAATGAAGCAGCTTTGCTAACGTTCACAGAGGTCAGGAAGCATCACACCCGCGTCTATCTGCTTCACGACTGAAGCAAATGGCATTTCCCACCGGATGTGAGTACTTCAAAAGTTTACCAAAAGCAAGTTCACAGATTGTGGTATTAAAAGATAAGCTGATTTTAGGGTGAAAACTTTGATATCAAAGTCATCGAAAAATTCACACACAATACATTGTATAAAAACACTGTGAATTTTAAAAATTGCACTAAAGTCATTTCTTTGGGGCCTAGGGTAGTAACCTAGTGGCTAAATTCTTGTCTTGCATACCCTGGGATCCCATAGGGGCACCGGTTCATTTCACAGCTACTCCACTTCCCATTTAGCTCCCTGCTTGTGGCCTGGGAAAGCAATAGAGGAAGGCCAAAAGCCTTGGGACCCTGCATCCAGGTAGGACCTGGACGAAGTTCCTGGCTCCTTGTTTTGGATCTGTTGAGCTCTGGCCACTGTGGCCACTTGGGGAGTGAGCCAGAGGACAGAAGATCTTTCTATCTCCTTCTCTGTGTGTATCTGCCTTTCCAATAAAAATTTTTAAAATCTTTAAAAACTCATTTAGTTGAAAGACAGATTGAAAGCAAAGAAAATCGGATGTACAAAGGACTGATCTTCCATCTCGTGGCTCACTCCCCCAAATTGCCATATGATTTAGGGCATTAGCATGAAGTTGGCAAGTGGGAGCAAAGTGAGGATTCGAACCCATGTGCCCCCATCATGACAAATGGCATGTTAACTGTTGTGCTGGATGCCTGTTGCTAGTTTTATCTTTTAACTCCTTTTCTTATTGATTTTTTAAGTGTCTGTATATTCTACCTACATATCAGATTTGACATTTGTACTACCTATGGGTAAACTCAATCTCCTATCCGATTTTCCAAATACAAAGCCAACTGTTACCGAGCAAGATGGAGAACAGCTTCCACTACATTGGAACCATCTTTGGCACTTGTTTCACAGAATAAGGCACCATAGGTCTGTAGAAAAGAAATACACACATAATTAAACTTGGATTTCCTGTCATTTCTAGTAGATAAAATGAAGTAAAAATATGTTTCCTTGAGCATATTAAGAGTAACTAATAGGGAAGAAATTCAGAGTTTCAATATTTAAATAAGAATCTTTGGATGTAGGCATCCCAGGAATAGTTTCTAAAGTCCTTCATTTTACATTAAAATCATGCAGATTGTATGTTTCAAGTTTTTAATCTCCAGCAATCATACCAGTGCTATTAAATGTCATCCGATAATTTCAAGGAGATAAGAAGAAAATGGCTAAAGGTCCTCACTGAAGAATGAAGACAGGTTGCAGTATGCATCTCTACTCCTGAATAAGAGACTCCCAATGAACCTGTTAAACACACACTGACAACAGAATACTCGACTCTCTACTATTACCCTTACCTACAATGCCATGATATACTTAAACAGCAGCATGTGGGGTTTGTGGCTGTTGCAGAAGGACACTATACTACTGTGATAATATGGAGGGAATCGGTGAGGGAGAGAGGAAGGGGAAGTGGAGGGGAGAATCCTTATAAAACCGTTTCATGGAAAATAATAATCATATTAATAAAAGTAAAATGTCTACCAAAGAGACTTTGTGTTTGCTCTTGGCAGCAGTCCAGGAATATTCTCCTTTACACCATCATTTTTCTACCAGAATCGGTCAGCCCTGTCACACTAAAACTAGCATGCATTTTCTACTCTTCTTATCCAACCTTCTGGAAGCCATGATTATGTTACTGATCAGATCACTCTCCTGCTTCAAATCTCTCACCGACTCTTGGATCCTCCCGAGATGACGTTCAACCGATCGTCTGTTTGTGTAAGGACACATGCCTCATCGAACACGGCAGAGGGGCCTGTAAGGATCTCTTGGGCCAAGGCAGGCAAACGTGAAAAGCCACCAACTCTAGGAACTAGAGTTCTATAGCAATGTAATGGCTTCTATAGGAAGTTCTATAGCAAGCCAATTATGCTCCTGTAGTCCCTGCCAATTCAGACTCACCCTCATGCTTACCATGGCCAGTTTCTCTCCAAAGTACCCCGAGATACACTTTTGCCCCTCTGCAGAAGCGGAGTCACGAAGGTCGGCCTTGTTTCCCACCAACATGATAGGGATCGTCTCACGGGCTGCATCCTTCCCCAAAGGAAAAAAAAAAGACAAGAAAGCATCCAACATAAGCCAAGTGAAGATAACAATGAGAGTGGTATGAGCTGTGGCAGTTGCCATTTTCCAACCGTTTCTTGTACGCCAAATGATGTATTTGCTACTCTGAAGTAAATGTGTCATGTAAATGTGTACACTTTCATCATGTTCATAATTATTGTCTTATTTCAGTAAAATCAAGTATATTATGTATCCTTCTCAAAGTCTTGTTGTCTACTGTGATAGTATGATTGTTAATATTGAAGGTTGTATCTTTAATTCTCAGACTATCTTAAGCAATTGACACCCCCATTTACAGGTTAGGAAATGGAAACTTACAGAGATTAAATAGAAAGGTGTGAGGGCAGGGACCCAATTCCATGCTAACTTCATAATCCTTGCTACTAGACAAGGTTTCGTCCTTATGCTAATGACGAGAATAGGCCCTGGGACAGTCAAATTTGTGCATAGGAAATGTGTATTTGCTGATTTCTAATTTTTAGCCCCAATGTTACAAATCAATATAAATCAAAGAAATATGACCACAAAGTTCCATTTGGCTGTGGTTCTCACATAATTTTTTTAATTTTTAAAAAAAGATTATTTTTATTGGAAAGGCAAATTTACTGAGATAAGGAGATACAGAGAGCAAGATCTTCTGTCCACTGGTTCACTTCCCTAGTGGCTGCAATGGCTGGAACCAAGCCAATCCAAAGCCAGGATCTTCTTCTGGGTCTCCCACTCAGGGACAACGTCTCAAGGCTTTGGGCCATCCTCTACTGCTGTGCCAGACCAAAAGCAGGGAGCTGGATGAGAAGTGGAACAGCCAGGACACAAACCAGCTTCCATATAGGATCCCAGGGCATGCCAAGTAAGGATTTAGCCATTAGACCATCACAGCAGACTCCTCACATAATTTTCTATTTCAATGGTGTTTACAAGTCAACCTTTTTATCCCAAGTACAAAAGACACAAATACTTTTTCTACTAGTATGAAATAAAAACAGTTAAAAGTTCAGTTCCTAGCTCCCGGCTTCATACTGGTTCAGCCCTGCTTAACAAAAAGCAGCAGAGAGGATGGTCTGAAGCGTTGGGACACCGCATCTACATGGGAAACCCATAAGAAGCTCCTGGCTTCTGGCAACTCCGGTCACGTTGGCCATTTGGGCAGTGAACCAGCAGATGGGAAGCCTTCTATTTCTCCTTCTGTCTGCAAAATCTGCCTGTCAAACAAAAATGAATAAATCTTTTAAAAATTGAAGGGGTTAAAAAGGGTATGACCCACCTCTGCAGGCATTTATGAGAAGATGCCCTGAGTGGCACAGTAGAAAAACCTAGTTCCTAGATGTGAGGGGTGACCCCGACACACACATGAGAACTACTTTCACGGCATCTATAGACAGTGTTCATTCAAGGTTGGAACTACCCCCTGATGCTGGATCAAGAAATGAGGCTTTAAAATGAAATTGACATGGCAGCATGTCTCTTCAGTGTTCAACAAAAGCAGAAGTAAACGAGGGAAGGGAATGAGAGGCTCTCCCAAAAATTCACCCATTAAGATGTTTATTAGATAATGGTAGATAGGAAACTTTTAGACACCAAATGCTGCACTAAGAAGCATAATGATACACTTAAAAAACTGAATGATGGACTTACTACAATAGTCTTTCAACAACAGTTACAGTAGAGGGGAAGGCAGTGTGGAGAGGTAAGGAGAGAGTGGAAGAGGAATTCCCTGAGCTTATGGAACTGTGCCATAATTCAACAGAAACCAAAAAGCATGTTCATTCCCTGTGTTCTTTGGTGATCTCCCTCAGGATTCAAGGCAGGGTACCACAGAGGAAACTCACTCAAAGAAGCAAAGAATAGGAGCCACTAAATGACTTTCCTAGCTCACGTAGGTAGTACTAGCACCTTTCTCTTCATGTCATGAGTAACAACTGCTTGATGAGCTACTCTTACTTCTGTTTGTTGCTTTTCATCTGTATTCCTCATTACAAGCTCCATAAAACTAGGGCTCTTGTGTTTTATCAACAGCTCAAAGAGGACATGCAAGGGAGTTACTCAAAAAAATATTTTTCATACGTAAGAGGAAGAGATCTTCACAGTCACCACTCAATTTCTACAATACTTTTCAATCAACCAATTATTCATCACAGTAAGTAAATGGCCGTAATTTTAATGTAACCATAATTCCACTGTAAGACTTTGCAACCCAGTTGCTTTGATCAAAGTGACTTCCAGGTTAATGTTGAGAACACGGAAGCAGCAGAATTTGGATGTCAGCACACATGCATGTCCAGGTGGTGTTTCATCTATAATTCCACCAAGCGTGGAAGCCCCTCTGTGCATCCAACACTACTACATATTAGCCACACCACCTCACTGTTCACAAAATCTTGTTCTGTATAGGTAACATGTGTTTGTATCTGCTCACAACAGAGTGATGAGCTGATTTACAACAGAAAAGACAAGTTTTACCCCCAGAAGCTCCTTCAGCAGTGAATCTCGGGGGAGGGGGAGGGAACTTGCACAATTCCTTAGAAAGGAGCCAAAATGCTAAGTGCCTTTGGAAATGCATCACCATTTTGATTTCTTACCTCAATCATGCCCACCCACTCTCGTACGTTAAGAAAGCTTTTCTCACATGTGACATCGTACAGCAGCAAAACGCCATCTGCTCTTCTGAAGTAAGACTTGGCAATGCTTCTGAATCTGTGCCACAGAGAAGGATACAAAACCACTTCAGCAGGACCCTTGGACCATGCCCCACATCGGGGACCTGGGATGGGTGGGAGGCTGAGTGGGACTTCTCCCTCTATCTCTCCCCTTACCCCAGATACAGAAAAAATAATAATAATGTGAAAACAACGGATTTACCCACTTTTCTGCAGCCCTTGACCCTTTGTGCCCTAATTAACTATACAAAGATTATCAAAATAAAATGATTACAAAAAAAGGAGCTGTGCCTAACCATGCCCATGGGAAATGAGTGTGAGGTAAGGTTTGCTTTTTAACCATACATGAATCGGTGGCTACGCTTATGTCTCTACGTTGAACCAAGGTGAGCTGAGGGAGCCTCCTCTCCATCATTTATAGTTGCGCAGCTAAGGAGACCACACCACATTCCTGCATTTGGAAGTGCTGTCTCATCTAAATTAGTAAAGAGCATTCTTTTCACACCAAGAAGATATCAGCTCAAAGGAACCATGAACATCTTTTGACACAACTGACAGAAGTGAAGAAGAGAATGTGCATAAATGCCAATGTTCATGGAATTCTAATACACAAATACAAGGATTAAAACATACTGTTTTATGGAATGATTTAGTGCAACACACCAAGCACCCTGCAGGGCCTACACGCACAAAGCTAAGCAGAACTGGGAAAGTTCTTCAAGCACTTGCCTCTCCTGACCAGCCGTGTCCCAGAGTTGTAAAACTGTTCGTTCTCCATCTACAATCAGAGTTTTCATTTGGAAATCAACTCCTGAGAAGGAATATGAGAGAAAAAGAGGCAAATGATTTCATGGGATTGTACAATCAAGCAACCCTTAGTTGAGACAAAGAGGAATAACTATGACCTTGAGGGAAATTAATCTTTAAATGAGGTGAAGATACACCTTGTATAATTTGGTTAAAATGCTGGGGGGGGGGGGGAGGGGCGCAGATTTGGTCCAGGGACAAAGGGAAACTTTATTTTTCTAGATGATTAGAGAAAAACTCAGAGAGATGTGTATGTGTGCAAACATGCAAGAACATATATGTACAGATCCTGCATGTATAAGGACACATCAAAAAACTGCAGAAAGTAGAGTTAAAATATAGATTTATATGGGTACAATTTTTACATACATACAGATGAGGAGTCTTAAAAAGTTCCTGAAAATTTGATGAAGAAAATCCATTCATGGATTTTAAAATTTCCCAGCACCAAAATAAACTGATGTTCTTTCACAAACTTTCAGAAGTATCCTTGTGTGTGTGTGTGTGTGTGTGTGTGTGTGTGTGTGTAGGCAAATCTGTGTGTCTGTGCATATATGTGAATGTAACTTTGTAAATGCACTCGTATGTATGCTATAGTTTTAGCAATCAGATCATATACTGTGGTCTTTGTAGATATTTAGTTGACGTGAACTTTTAGCCGTTTTAATTGGAAGGGTGCTATCAGAGAACCATACATTTACATAGACATCCATCATAAAAAGTGCAATCAAAATATCTCCAGGAAAGTAAGGGAAATAAATGATAATCTGCATACATTAAACTTCTTTTACCGATTATTACACAAATACGTGGAATCAAAATTCTCACTCCTGTTCTGCTGTGAAGATGGATCAGGCATTCAGCTGTGACTTTGATCCTAACTATAAATTGGCCATAAATACTGTCACTTTGTCATCAAATGGTACCTTATCAGAAAGGTTTTCCTCGGTTACCCTGCGTAAAAGTTATATCCATCTCATTTTTTTAATTGTTTCATATGGGAGTAGGTTCCTTAAAAGGACAAATTTATACAGATGCTCACTCGCACTCACACACACACACACACACAGATTGAGAGAAATCTATATTCTGCATTAGAATCCATTAATTCAAGGCCAATCTAAAGATACCTTTTCCTATTATTTGTTGGAATAGCATACCCAGAGTGGCACTGATATTTCCTCGAAATTCATTCTTGCAAAGTCTCATGAGGAAACTGGACTTCCCCACGGCAGCATCTCCAGCCAGCACAATCTTGTAAGCCTTCTGTGCGCCAGGGAAGTTGGGGCTGTCATTTTCCGTGTCTGTCTATGGGGAAAAAGCCACAGTGAGACAAAACCGGTGCCAATTCCCTTCCTAAAACACAATATGGCAAAGTCAAGGAAGTGTCCTTGAGTGTCTCAGAGACTACCTACAGGAGCTGAAAGTGCCGAGATAGGCTTTCTTGCTGAACTAACAATGCTGCCTTCATTCACAGACCCTTGGGACTTCCAGTCTAAGACAGAAGCCACATCTTCTGAACCGTAGGTTTCTTCATCCCTTATATCAGGAACCTATTTTCAAAAGATCAACAGTGCAAAAGTCAAAGAAAACCACACAGCTGAGCCAAGAGTCATTATTACAACAGAACAGAGTTACAAGGAGATTCTTGGTGGAGACAACATTTTGACTTCAGTTCCTTTGTATAACATTCCTAAGACAGACAGAACTATGTCAGAAGATTTCAATGAAGGATAAGGGCTGTGACAGCACTGGGTTCCAGAGCTTACGTCTGTGTCGGAAGCATCACCCGCCAAGCTCTCCTGTGCCCCGTGTGACCTCTTAAATTCCTGCTGGGGCTTGTATTCCACCTCCGAGTCATACTCGTTGGGATCCCTCAGGGTCGACAAGCCACTGTCGAAGCAGCTCTCGGGCAGACTGTCCACTTCACAACTCCTCCTGTGCATGGGATCACAGAGGGCCAACGGGTCACAGTCCTCATCCACATAGAAGGAGCGGGATGACCTGAAAACACAGGAGGAAGGGGCTTGACCTAAGGGCTCGGAGAGCTCAGCGCTGCACACAAGACTGCACAGACGGAATCAAGATCCGCATGCGCACGCTTGCAGAGAGCCGTGAGGAAGTCCACACAAAAGCAACGGGGGCAGTCACATGTTTCAAGCAACACCAGAATTTCTATGCAAGAATCCATTCACACATTGGTTCTCCAGTCAAGCATTTTGGAAATGGGGCTAATTTTTAAAGCTCAACTTGATGTCCTCATTTAAAGACGATCAAAATGCAAGTACAACCTCAAGTTTTATTAAGAAAAATCTACATGGAGCACATGAGTCATTGTATGTTAATGGTAAGTCACAACACATTCTGATTCATGTGTTAAGAAGATCTCTACCTAAAGGGCAGGTTAAGAACCCAGGTGGGGAAAGGCAACCAGGACGATTTAAGACTTAAGGTTCTTGGATTTGAGTAATGGCTACTCACCTATGTCTTAACAGCTGCCTTCATCAAACACTTAAACGGATGACACATATGAAGACATTTTTTTTTTCAGGTTGCACAAGAGAAAACAGAGTCAGGGCCAGTAATGTGGTAATAGGCTAATCCTCTGCCTGCAGCACCAGTATCCCATATGCTGTTGGTTTGTGTCCAGGCTGCTCTGCTTCTGAACCGGCTTCCAGGTTCACGAAGGCTTAGCTCAAGTCCTTGGGCCACTGCACCCAGGTAGAAAGAAGCTCCTGGCCTCTGGCTTTGAATTGGTTCAGCTGCAGCCTTCGCAACCTTCTGGGGAGTGAACGAGCAGATGGAAGATCTCTCCCTCTCTCTGTCCCTCTCCCTCTTCTGTTATTCTGCCTTTCAAACAAAATCTTTTAAAAAGAAAGTAAGAAATAGAGCCAATGGTAAACTTGTCTGGAGATCATAAGTCTTGGTCAGCAATGTTATGTACTTGAAAAATAAAGTTACTGAGGGAGAGGGGAAGACAGACATACACACACAGAGAGAGAGAGAGAGAGAGAGAGAGAGAGAGAGAATATCTTCCAATCTTCCACCTGCTGGTCACTGCCTAAACAGCTGTAACTGTTGGGGCTGGAGCAGCTGAAGTCAGGAGTTTTCATTCTTTCTGGGTTTTCCATGCATGTGGCAGGGTCTCAAGTGCTGGGCCACCTGCCAGTGTTGTTTCTCAGGCTGTTTGCAGCAAGCTGAAGCAGAAGTGGTATAGCTGGGATACAAACCAGCACCTACATGGGATGCAGGCATGGAGGGGTAGCTTTACCTGCTGCTCTACAACACCCACCCCTAGCTACTTGTATTTTTAATGAAGAGTGAAGGAAACGTGAGATCCTGTGTTGAGGGATCACCCCCACAAATATCTGAGTCTAAATTTAAAATATAGGGACAACTTGACCTTGTCCAACTCAAACACATATCTTTTTGTTAAACCATTCAGCTCTACCCTGGGAACACTTCCTTTACTATCATTGAAACATGTAAAAATATAAAATAAGTTATATTTCTGATAAGAGATCTTAAAAGCAGCAGATTTTTCAAGTTATGATCAAATAAAGCTGTCAAGCACGAAAATTAAATGTATAAGATCCTTCTAAGCTTCTATAGTACCACCAAAACTGTACCAAACTATCCAGCCCTTAGCAAGGAACAGACCACGGCAGCCTCTGGCTATGGTGGGAAACAATAAGCTAGCTCCCTGCACCTCTGGGGAACTGGTATTGGGATAACCGCCCTTCACCTTGACCTCCGAGAACCTTGCAGTCCTATATTTACAAGCCTTGCTTTCTTTAAGAGAAAAATTTTTTAAAAAATGATGAAATTTTAAAGGGATTCTGAGTTATGTATCTGCCTATTTGCTTAGAACTGATTAACAGTCCAGAAAAATAGATTCACACAGATGTATGTTTAAAAACCGATACTACTCAATATCAGGATATTTAGTTGACTATAAAATCAGGAAGTGATCAAAATGCTTTACTCAACAGCTCAATGAGGTATACCATCTTGTATCTGCAGAATATTTTCTTAGGCATGATCACCAGTAAGTCTTGCTTTCTTGAATGGCAGGCTGACCGTTTGCCTGCCACAGGGAATTCATGGCACTCTTATACCAGCTGACCCAAATGAAAAGTGGCTAAGCATACAGTCATAACATTGCAAAGACACAGAGAACTGGAAACCTTTTGTTCTTGACTTCACTTCTGTTCGTAAACTTGGAAATCTTCCAAGATTCACTTTTTAAATAGCAACTCTAGACATATGTGTACACACACACCGAGCAGCAGTCTTCGTGCCTTTATGAGTAGGTCATAAATAATAGCTCTACTCTTTCACTTGATTTCAGTAAGTTAGACTAAATTCTAATGTTTGTTCATTTTTGTGCTTCCTTCAGTGTTGTAGCTTACAAACACCCACTAGCAACATTTCTGTTTCAAGGGTTTTATTTCTCTGGGACACAGCTCACATGAACTCTTAAACATTTACCAATCACAACAGTTTCAACATGCTACAATGCATGAGTTCCAGCATCATATACGGTAGGTCCATGGTTTTCCCTAAAATAGCTCTTAATCTACTTCCTGTAAAATGTAACAGGGGGTAAAGCAATGAGGAATATTGTACCAAACCACGTCAGAACAGCGTTAAAACCTTACCAACTTCAAAGGATTTTACTTTTAATAGGATTCATGTTTCAGAACTTTAAAGTGAGTTTCAAGAAAACAGAAATTACAGCCCCCAAATACATTACACTGCTTGAATTCATCTAAAAGGAAATATACTTTCTTTTTACTTTTGATCTAGGTTTCAAATTCAGCAACAAAATGCAGATGTTGACATACCTGTCGTAGGCCAGAGGTGGAGCCGAATGACCGTTACATTTAAGACTGCTTCTAGAAATTGTATTCCCTGGTGACACATTATTCATGCGCTGTGATAAATAAATAATTACTTGTTATTTCATGTAAGCACTCCTCACTCATACACATAGTTTTCAAGAAGTCCATGGAGAAATGAGACCTCAGCAAAGATAATGCACATTCTTTCTCTGCCATCAAATCAGGTCTAAATCCTTTTGTATATTCTATAAAGGATTACTCTTCTTCCCCAGATTTTCCAGGAATCTGGAATATCAGTTTCCTTGGACTTACATCTTTACAAACCATAATTTGGCCTAGTGATTGATTTTTTTTTTCATTATACAAATATGATGCTGAAATCTTCCACTTGAATTTGACCTCCTCATGGAAAATGCAGTCTTGGGAAGGTCCTCAAACTTCCAAATGGAGTTTAGTTTCTGAAGGAAGGTTTGAAACCCACAGCCCCTAGGCCACTGCACCGCTATGGCAAGGAGCATTCGCTGTGGCTTGACACACACCCCTACCCAGAGCTTGCTTCTCTTTCAACTGGGATGTATTTTATTTCTTCCTCCAGGTGATTTCCAACTTATACTGTCTGCAACTCCCCATCACGCTATGAACTTGGGCAAAGCTCACACTTTAGACTGTTTTTAGTTTTCCAAAGCGTTCTACAAGAGAGTTGATCAACGTGGAGGCATTTATTGACGTAGAAGGATCACATTTTTTCTTTTAATTTGGAGAAATACTGCCTTTCTATCCTGTGGAAAGAACTCATTATTGTAAGGACCTACATGGAAGTATCTGGCAAGAAACCAAACGGTTTTTACCACCTTCAAATAATCCCAACACCAGAGAAACTGAAAAGCATCTTAAAATACAGCATACCAAGGATCTATTCAACTTGCTGTAACTGTTTTCGAGGGCGCTTCTAAGGCCGTCATTACTGTCATGCAGCTTCCGGTTAGCCGTTCTGCACAGTAGAGAGACAGAGATAAGGAGGGTATTAGTGTAGCTCAATGTCACCACGATTTTTCAGGTCCTGGCATTCAGAATGTGACATTACAATGCTGTGCAGTTTTCTACCATGCCCCTTGGAAGCTCATTCACTAAGATCCAAGTCTTTGTTCAAAGTGCAGCAACTGAATTGACCAGAGTGTTTTAGCAATGAATTAGCAATGCTATAGACCTTGCCCTTCCCTCAGCTATCTCCGTCGTTTACAGACTGGGTTTCCCAGTGGCCTGAATGCAGAGGGCCCGTTCCCCATCTTGGCAGCCTCCTGCCGTTCCACCCAACACTGCTCACATCAGATCATCACACTCACGTTGATCTCGGACAACTCAGGGCTCACATCCCAACACAGGTCCTTACTTGCTTGTAACATAATGGAGGTTAAGCTACACGTCAGAGCCATGGCTCCCTCTTCTACACAAGGAGGACAGCGGCAGAGTCCTTGCCTCACTGAGTGGCTCATCTTCCCTCACCTCCTGCCAGTTCAGCCTTCAGATGTCAACTCAGTTGTCACCTCCTCCAGGAACACCGTGATGACCTTCATGGGGCGGTCGAAGCCTTTGAGGTCAGAGGTTTTCCCTACCACTCCTCTCCCATTTAGCATTTCCTATTCCTATCCAAAACTTATCAGTTTCTGCTTTCCTCCCCAAATTAGCCTCACATAGAAGGCGGCTTTTTTTTTTCTTTCTGCTTGTAGTCATTTTCCTAGCTCCTGGCATATGGAAAAGGTGCTACTGAACAATATAAAGCCTGGCTTTTGCTTCTTTGAAAGAGTTATAACCAGAAGAAAAGCCGGCCTGGGTAGAAAAAAGAAAGTAGGCGGGGAGGTAGAGGTCAGGTGGGACTAGAGGAATAGAGTGTTAGTATTACTGTAACTTTGTTATGAAGTGTTCAGAGCAGGTGTCACATTTCCACATACAGAGAAAAAAAAGAAAAACATGCCCTCACCAAGGACAGTAACTTGAATGATTTCAGAGGTGCCAACATGAGAAGCCTGGCAAAATAGCAAGATCGAGAGCAGCAGAGGAAGCAGCGAGATCAGAACTGTTCTTTACTGAGACAATCAAGACACGCTTGACACATAAGCTGCCTCGCAAGGACTTCGAGATACTGTATTTCTTGCATTTGATGAATGCACTTCAGCAGACATGCTGAATATGCTATAGAGAAGAAACAGACCTGCGATCCTAGGCTCCAAATGTGACAGCGTGTGTTGCACGTGGCACGTGTTTTACTAAAGGAAGTGGAATGAACATGGAATGAAGGTTTTACATGAGAACTTACTGGAGTATTTCAATTTGCCTCTCAAGATTATTTCGATCTTCTGTGTATTCTCGGATTATTTCCAGATCCCTGCAAAATTATATTTTATGTTTGAATGAGAATCGGGTGGCAAGTCCTGCTTTCTCTATCCCTTCCTCTCCTGTCCTGGGGTCAGCCTTTCTCAGAGATGGCTGTCCTTGATCCTGGTCCTGTTTACCTGTGCTTCCTCTCTGTTCATCTGAGATTCTACGGAGTAGACTTTAAAAAGCTCATAGAAAAGAAATCAGGAGATACATTTTGGTGCAAAAAAAAAAAAATCTGAAGTTCTTAGATCTGGTTTCTGCTTTCTTGTAATTCCTTCTCCCCTCCCTAACGTCACTAACTTCATCTCCTATCCTGCTTCTCCCCCCCAACTCCACCCAGCCCCATCTCACCCCAAACTACAGAACCAGGCTCTCAGAACAGGTGTACTCCCATGACTGCCCTAGACCCATTACTCAGCAGCCAAACCCTATCGTAGCTGTCCCAAACTCTTGGGAGTCCCAATTTTGTGCACAAAAACGTGTCCGTCTGCCTCCCAAACGCGGAAGCCAATTTCTCAGCTGTTTGTACAAACCTCAATTCCTTAACCAGGAATTCTGAGTCTTTTAGTTATAGAATCCAGCTAAGTTCTAAACTACTTACTTCACTTATACTTTCTGCTTCAAAATGTCTCCGGCGTGACAGCCTCTCCCCAAGCCAGGCTGTTCCTTCCCCGTGTTCTTGCTCCTGCTTTTCGCTGTTGCCTCAACTGTAATATCTGTGACACTCTCTTTTCTTGGGTATAAAACATGGATGTTGAAAGCACTTATCTCAGGAAGGGGGAGGAGGTCTGTGACTTGGAGTTAACCTAATCACGCTGAGGACGGCTGCCAGCAGAGGGCAGTGCCTCTAGCTTGGAGCTGCTGCAGGAGCTTCCGGGTCCGACTACTTAGCGGCACAAACATGAGCCTGGACTCTGCTGCATTTTCAATTTTTAAAAAATGTACCGATATAAAGTGGACAAATTTCACACATACCACAATACAGACTCAGGAACCGAGTGAAACTTAACCCTCTTTTAAATAAAATGTCCTGTGATCCCATGACAACTGTGACACTACAGGTGGTATGATTTCTGACACTGTTTTAAAGTTATTTAGCTGTTACTGCTTCTTCCTTCCCAAATATTTAATTCAAGCATTGTATGTTTTCTGTTAACTGATTAAATCTTGTAAACAAAGCAAACAACATGTTCTTTCCCACACCCACCATGTGGTTATATACATGTTTGTGTGTAAGAATACAGCAAGTGCTAGTAATACCATACTTCAAAGAATTAAAAAATATTTCCCTAAAAAGTCTACTTTTTATACATTTTATGATCAGAACTCCTGGTGGCAAAGATGTTAACAAGCTGCCTCTTGATACTGAAGGAATATTTTCTTCTAGCTCCCAGTTAATTCAACCACTTATTAAGCAAGCTCTGTACTATGCTAAACAGGCAGCAATTAAACAAGCTAACCTGTTGAAGATAATTAGAAACAAAGAATTATGAATTGTGGCATTCAAAACATAGCAGTTGGAAAGTAAGGAGCATGATAACAAATTAATGGTTGCCCTTTAATATCACAGAGTATTCATACAGGTGATCAATTCATCAAACATTATACCCCAACTGTAAAACAAAATGCAAACTTCCATACCTCTCTGAGTTCAGACTCTGATTAGCATAATCACTTCTCAAAGCATCTAGTTCACTCTGAAGAAAGGCTATGCTTGTCTGGGCTTCTAAAAGGTCTTTTTTAACTTTCTGATTTTCCTGGAGAAAAGAAGCAGTGCAGGACATTCGATTCAGCGGCATGAGCCTGGGAGAAACGAAGTGAACTGGACCCTCCCACACATCACTCCCACTTTGCCTTCATTCCTCAGATCCTGCTCTTCCAAGAGCTGACTACCAATTCAAAGAAGCTTCAAATTACTACAAGTTATTCAAGTATCAAAACCTTACATCCTCGAGCCCATCTTCATTTTTCAGACTTGACATCAAGTATCTAACTACAATAGTCTAGAGATTATACTCCAGAAAATTTTTGGCAAATTGACAAAATGTCTAAACACCTCTTTTACCTAATGAGCACTACAAAGGTACTATTAAACATTTTTTGTGAAAATGGTGCCTATTATATTATAGACTGCTTTCTTAGACTGGCTAGTTTTAACAATATTTCCTGTAACTTTAACATTGTAAGTGTTACACTGATCAATAAGTCAGTGGGTTAGAAAACACGTTTCTTTAAAAAAGAAAAAAATAACTAGAGGCCTTTGGTTAGAGATCTGTGCTAAACACATGATTTTTTTTTCCCAACATTAGCAATGAAATACCAAAGGAGATGAACAGCAGATGGATTCGTGAACAATGAGGTGACTTAAGCACACGTACAGAGGATGGAAATGGAATGACACTGTCCTCCCTAGGAAATGCAAGAATGTGTTGCACGCTCTACCACAGAACAGAGAGAAGACCAAGTGGCCGGATGTCCCCACCAAGCTGCAGTAGAGTGAAGATTGGAAATAAGCTTGAGACATCTCTCTGCCATTCTCCTGTCCCATGCTAGCAAATAGCAGACAGGCATAGCATTTCCAAAGGCAACAACAGAGCACCCGTCAGAGGACCAAATGAATCAGGTAAGAAAAGCCAGAATTTCTCTTGGCATGTTCTTTCCGTATCTGCAGCTGACAGTCAGCTTTGCACCAAGCCTCGGGGACAGGTACAGCGATGAGGAAGCCATTTGTCTGGTTGCATAACCTACAGTAACTCCCTAAAGTGATGAGTATAACCTTCCACTCTAAACTATGAACCAAGAGTTGTCCAGCATTCACAATAGGCAGCACTTTGAGGGGTAAACCCTGCACGAATAGCGTATAGGTAGGTGAAGACCTTCTCTAATATGGTATTAATTTCTCTTTAAGCTTCTAATTCTGGAACACTGACATGATGATGTATATGTTGTCTAACCGAAAATGTAGTTTAAAAAAAGGGATTCTTACCATTGACAAATCATAAATTTGTTTTTTTAATGCAGTCACATCTTCCTTTTGACTTACGTGTTTTGACTGTTCTTCAAGCTGAAAGAGCAAATCAGTTGTGCAATTACACATTTCACATTGAATTACTTCGGTGAGATTTTAAAAGTATCCTTGAATGAAGATATTAAAACTACAGGAGTTAACACACACTATTTTGCATATTGCCAAACTACATAAAATGTATAGGAATTTGAAGTCTTGTTTTAAATAATTTAAACATTTAGAAAAGATTTCATTGTTAAATGAATTTTCTTGAAAATAACCGAAAAGCCGATTTTGGAAGCCACTCAACTGTTAAGCAACTCAACAACTGTGTAACTACATAAGCATTGTTTGTTCCTTGGCCCATTCGTATACCTGGACTAAACTAGTTCAGGAACACTTAAAATGTGGAAAACAGTCTTCCCAACAAACAGCTTACTCCCCTGGGAATCATGTGGACTGGGGGTGTGCACTTAAGGCACATTTATGCACTGGTCCCAACGCACCCCCATTTCACCAGGTAGAAGAATCCTAACACTGGACTTGCTGCATCTTGCTGCATGTAACAATTTATTGCAGCCAGCTATGTATCAAGTTAGCAGTTTGGAATCAGCCATGGTGGGAGTATTTTATACCATGGAAGTCAGCAGAGTTAGAGCCACCTGTTAAAACACTGGCCAGCACATTAGTGAATGAAATAACCAGAACAAAGTACAGCAAAATCCCTAACCCACAAGACTCCTTTGCTCACACCTCAGTGATCTCTGCAGAGCAGGAGTCCCCGAGATCTGGGTCTTTTTACTTCAGAGAGCAATGCTGATTCAACAAACATCCACTGGCTACTCATCGAGTACCTTGTAGTTCACCAGGAATAGGGAGCCAGGTGTACACAACCCAGACAGCCCCGCTGCCATGAAGCATGCAGTGGACATGGAAAAGGGGACTGCAGAGCAATCGGTTGGTGAAGACGCAAGAAACCAAAGTGGGGTTTGATAGACAACTGTTCATGGGATCAGATTTATGCAAATGCCAGAGAGCCCCCCCCCCAAAATAGAAAAGAAGCTGAGGTGTCCTTAACCTTTTTAAGAAGCCAACTTGACTCTGAAGTCTGATTCTCTCTGCCATTTCAATGCATTTTCATGTTTTAAGTCACCATCTGAGACAGACCCCGAGGCTGCTCCTGAACATCTGGCTATCGCAAGCTTACCTTTTTTAGTTTTTTTATGGTCACCTGCAGGTCCCCTACTTCTGTTTCATACTGACGTCTGAGGTCAGTGAGCGCCTCCTCAGCTTTGCGTTTTTCCTACAACAAAATCAGAAAGATTTGGACGATTTAAAAAGGACCAGCCTCTTAAACGATCTTCAAGCACCCGTGAGGTGCAAAATAATGTGGTTCCCATGAAGGTTGACTTCAATTCTTCCACGTGGCGGGGAGAGAGCACTAGAAAGGGATGTTAGACCAAAACCAGGGACTCCGAGCATACAACAGTTCCGGAATTGGAGACTGCAAAAGTACAAGAACTGCGCAAGCTCCTTCCTAATCATGCCTATCATACCATCCCCGCTCATTTTTTTTACTGCATTCATCACTGTATTTATCTGCCTATTTATCTGTATAGACTTGATAACGATCTTTTCTTCCTCCATCTCAAAAAAAAAAAAAAAACACCTCCAGCAGAAAATTCATGACAGCACTGGTGGAACCCTGGATTTGCTGGATCGACACCCAAAAGAATGCCTGGGGCCTTACACATGAAAGAAACCATCCTATAAAGAATGCTGGATGAGTAGCCAGTCCCACACACTCACATCTTTCCGCGTCTTATGTTCTGCAGCCTGAATCCTCTGATCCATTTCCTCTTCCAACTCACTCAACTGCATGGCTGCCTTGTCCTGGGCTCTGAAATGCAAAAAGGATTGCACCTTCCAATTGCAATCTTGAACTCATTACACAAACGCAAAACTTTAAACGCATCCATTTGGGGGCCCCAGAGAAATATACCATTCAAAATAATATGACATTCATCTTCCATGCCATTAAATGGAATTGGAAACATGGCCAGTTCAAAATATAATACTGTTAAAATTAGATGTTAAATAAGTGAGGTTAGATTACATTAAACTCAATTGTAGTGGGGAAAAAAAAAACCTTCTGTAAGTTACCAAATATAGTCTGAAAATTTTTAAATCTTTTTTATTATGGTTGAGTTACAATCCTGGACCAAAAACAAAACAAAAAAACTTCATGGCAAAGAAATGACTAGATTTAATTTTGAGTTTGTTTGGATTTTTCATGGTGGCCATAATATTTTCCAGTCTCCTGCCAGCTGCTTGATGTCCTTGACTTTTGTTGCCTTCTGAACACAGCTGCAGATCCTCGCAGTCTAGCGGGTCCTCTCCTAGCCAATGCCACTAGCATGCATGTTCCCCATCCCCTTTGCAACGATGCTGTCCCCACAGTCCCCAGCACACAGCAACAGCAGCCATGCATGGCCCAGTAGATCTGCTTGTCCTGTTCTGGGTGACTGTCCTGTGCTTCCTCCTCCTCACTTTGGTCCTCAGCCTTACTGTTCCTTCAGCAACCTACGGCAACAGTGGGCCAGGTGGGACAGTTCCTTGGAAGCACACGTGAAGAGGACTTCAGGTTTTAATGGGTTGGTGGGACCCAGGGGTACACACAGCCATGGACCCCTAAAGTCAAATCAGGAGGGACTAAAGCAGGAGCAAAAGGCAATTTTGCCACAATTATTTTTGCCCCTCCCTCTTTTCCAAATATAATGAATAAACAGCTTCTCTTGAGGCCGAACATATTGATTCTCCAAAACAAAAATTAGAAATGAAAACGGGTGGGTGAAAGGAGCCCCACCATTTATTTAGCCATCATCTACTACAGAGATGCTTGCCAGGCTACAATGGTTGAGGTTTCAGATTAAGCCATATATAGATAGTATATTTAGAGATACATCCCAGTAACATGATGCTCATGTCGAGAGCAGAGCTTAAACACCAGACCTCCGTCTTCTGGTTCAATGGACCTCTGATATGCCAACCCATCCCATCTGGTTTTGACTCATCTGTTTACAAGGTGCGCATTGCTTTAACTGCTACAGGAAAGAGGGCTGGAGACTCTAGCTCTATCCATGTGACAACAGCACTGTTTCTGAGCCAGTTTAACCTCACCTGAAGGTCAGCCCAATATCTCAACCAAATTTGAAGATTCAGCGACTTTATGTTTTTAACATCTTCTATTTGAAGGTCAGAAATTACATACCTCCACAGCAACTTTTTTTAAAAATCAACTCTGGTACTACAAATAAACTAAATATCTTCTCTCTTTGCCATGATAATTTTTTTCTAGGTCTTCCTTTTAGGCATCTGGTCCAAAACATCTGGAATTACTCTTCAGTATTTCCTCTCAGCCCTTTCTAAGCTACTATTTATTTTCCTGGTAATAGTGTTAACTGAGCAATTTCTAATTCCTAGCAAAAAGTCTCACATGCTGGGACTATCCACTGTCACCTACTCAAAATTCCCAGGATAACACGAGGAACGCATTCTTCGGGTGCAAGTGCAGATCTAAAAAACCGAGACCTGTCTGCAACCAAAACAGGAACCAGGATCGATGGTCCTTGGCTAAGAGTCCAGGGCATGGATCACAAGTAGCCAAACACTTCAAAGTCTTCATAAGAAGGAGCCTTTAGAAGAGGGAACCCGAGTAGAAGAGGCAGCCTAAAGGAGAAGGACCGCAGCAGTCCCCACCTCTTGCCAGGCACCGTCTCAGGGGCTGCATCCTAGAGATCAATTCCTGGGTCTGACCCCTGCCCCCACTGCCCTGGGTGTGACTATTTCCATCCTCTTTTTCCATATGCAAGAACTGAGACTCCAGGAGAATCACTAAGCTGCCCCAAGGTCTCACACCTGTAACTGACCAGCGTAGGCTCCCAATGAGTCTGGCCTAACTCCTGTTCTTCCCTATACATTTAGAGTGGTATACAATAAACCTCTGAATTGTTGTGTATCAAGGAACTGGTCTCACCAATGTTGACAAGTTTAGTAAGTCACTGTCTGACTCAGCTTCCCTATATTGGCTTAACTGAGAATGCTATAAATTCTCGAGTTGCATGAAGTCCACCTATACCATCCCATGACACTCAGTCCATTCTCCACCCAGTTCAAGGACAGGCAGCAGCTCAAGGGACCCGTATGCCTCCCAGGAAGGAAGGACTTCCACACCTCTTCACAGCAAGGGCCAAGCTTTCCATTTCTGAGCTTTGAAGTTTGAGCTCACGGATAAAGTTCCTTATGACATGTTCATAGGGCTGAATGAGTCTTGGTTCAACGAGGTTGATGTTTTGGTACAAGGTACCAACTTGTTCTTTCCTAAAAAAAAATTAAAATGAAACCGATTAAAAACTAAACAAGCAAAAATTTAAAGAATACTTTTAAGGAAGAGACACATAAGCAAAGAGCCAAGGAAGGATTAAAAAAAAAAAAAAACAGAATTATCCGAGTTGGGAAATGGACAGCAGTCAGTCCTGTTGTGTGTTCATCTCCAGATTTGAAGTGGGATGCCTAGGCGGGCAGGGGACACGCACAGCAAGGGATCACAGTCAAGGATATTCCTTTTGGTTACTGCTGCTGACTTCCAATAGAAAAGTAAATAAATCTGCAGAGAAGTTGGCCACAAACCAATCCTGTTTTACTGATATCCAGTAAGTCACGCTTTAACCTTCATGGGCCCAAGGGTGAATTTATGCATTATTCTCCAGTCAGTTAAAAACTACTTCATTGAAATTCATATTCAGAAGAGGAGTGTTTAAAAAGTTCATGGAAAATGTGCATCATCTTTTATTATTTGCAAAATATTTATATTTGCATTTTTTAAAAGTATTTCTAATACTAAATGTATAGAGATTCACCTCAATCCAACCAAATCTCCCTATTTCCAGGCACTAAATGGCAGCCAGCAATGTGACTTCATTCTGATACTGTCTACCCAGACTGCACACGGAGCCCACAGGTGAAGAGCTCAGTCCCAGGAAAGTGTCTTCCAGCTCTCAGACCAATCGTAAGTCCCAGATTATACTTTTGACCAACCTGGGTTCCCATGAGCTTCTCTGTAGTTTATAACTGGTGGAACTGCTCATAAAACTCGAACAATTTACTTAGGGTGTGGGTACACAGAGCTCTTAGGGCCTGCCTGGTCACATTGTCTTGCCAGCACCATGATATGTTCATAACTGAGAAACTTTCCAAAGTTCAGGGATTCTTTGAGACTCCGTTGCATAAGTTCGTTACATTTAATCACCACGCAGTGGCACCCCTCCTTTTCTCCAGGGTCAGGGATGGGGCACAAAGTATCAACCCTCCAATCATCCTTGATCTTTCTGGTTGGCAATCTTTAACTTGAAGCTAGCTAGGCGCCCGGAGCCATCAATCATCTCACTGTCAACTAAAATACACTCACTCATTACTTCAGAGATTCCAAGACTTCAAAAAGTTGTGTGCGAGGAACCCGGGGCAAAGACCAAATATATGTTTCTTATTGAATCTCAACATCAATGTGGCAATCCTCATACTTGTTACTTAGCACCTTTTAGATCAGATAAAAAGGTGGGACTGTCATTGTGGCTCAGCAAGTTAAGCTATCACTATGACACATCCCATACGAGTGTCGAGTGTCGGATGAAATCTAGGCAATTCTACTCCCAATCCAGTTCCCTGATAGCGTGCCTGGGAAAGCAGTGGAAGAGAAAAACAGTGTTTGGGGTCAGGCCACCCATGTGAGAGACCTGGATGGGTTCGGGGCTCCTGGCTTTGACCTGTTTTTTTTTGTAGTCATTTAATAAGTAAACCCATAGATTGAAGATGCCTAGATGTCTTCCTGTATGTTTCTTTCTCTCTGCCTCCCTCAAAGAAAAATGATAAGATTTTTGTATCAAATAAGGGCAAAAGAGGCTAGGTGCTGAGGTTAGCGGTGCTCATGGCTTACAATGTAGGTGATGCGGGTAGGAGGGACGAAGATGCACGAAGCAGAATCTTACGACTATTTCTTTAAGCCTTTATGACGCAGCTGCTATCACTGGGGACCACTGTACTGTGGGGGCCTAACAATTACACCATTCTCCAACATGTTCGAACCTTTCCCTGACCCTTGGGCTGTATGTCCTTGTACAGTGTATCCCACCAACCATGCAATTCAACCTTCCTTTGGATGCAGAGCTGTGCTTGCTAGCATCTACGCTATTACTGCATGAGAGTAGGAGCACTTCTTCCAAGTGAGGAACATGGATACCAGGTCAAAGGAATGCCAGAACGTTAGAGAAAAATAGCAATTCTTTGGGGGCCCAAGAAGATTACTTCCCATAATACTACAATATGCCAATTTTTATCAAGTCTAGAAATGTTAGGAATCATTAATGGTCGTGGGGAAGTTGAGCGCATTCGTAGACTTCATTATTTAGCAATTACCCAGTCATTTCTAGCGTATGATTTTACATTTCTACAATTTTACAGTCACTCCCCTGACAATGCAAAATGCTTCTGCCTACCACTCCTGAAAGAGACCACTTTCTCCAGGTGCCGTCTGACCTTGACCACTCGGAATTCTCAAGGCCAAAATGCACACACATCCCTCCATTCCACACTGCCATCTCTCAGTTGAAGACAGTCCATGAAGATGCTAAGTGTTCAGGAAACAATATGACAGCTGAGGCTTCATTCATGGAAAGGGCACATCTCCCAACCAGAAAGCATGTATATAATGTTTACAGTAAAACTAAGGCTGTATTGAAATGTGCTAAGATTAAAATGTTTTCTCCATTGCACCTCAGCCCCATGAGCCAGGATTAGACACGTATGCTCTGCAGCCTCTGTTTCCATGCTGCCACATGGGAGTGGAGTAAGAATGAACCCTATTAAAGCAGAGGACAGCAGATGGCACACGGGGTCATCAGTAAGCAGACAACCATAATCACTGCTGTTCCTCAGGACTATCTCATCAACTTTCAAAGAAGTTGACACTTGTTTCCCTTCTGCATCTGCTGAGTAAGAAAGGCTAAACGAAAGCAAGGCTTCAGCGTGGGCACTGGTTGGAACTGTGCTCTAGGCTCAGGTCTGAGGTCTGAGGTTCGTCTACCAAGGTTACAGTCTGCATTTGTTTTTAACACCAGATAGAAAAGTATTTTAGGCTTTGTGTGCCATCTGATCTCTGTGGCAACAAAGCAGCTTTATTACCACAGGGTGAAAATAGTCCAGGACAAGCTTCAATGGGTGAATTTGTCTGTGCTCCAACAAAACTTTATTTACACAATCAGGCAGAGTGCCAAACAGACCTTGCCTTGCTGGATGTTGTTAACCAGGCTGCAGGCAATGGAACAGGGGATGGGTAATACAGAACTCACCCTTTTATATCCAGGAAAATATGCTTTTGTTTACAGCTTGTTCCTAGGTCAGATAAAGACCTCTTCCATACATAGACGCTCATTCTGTTAGATCACAATATTTTTTAAAGATGTATTTTTATTGGAAGTCATATAGGAGCGAGAGGAAGATCTTCCATCTGCTGGTTTACTCCCCAGGTGGCCGCAATGGCCAGAGCCGAGCCAATTCAAAGCCAGGCATCTGGAGCCTCTTCCAGGTCTCCCATGCAAGTACAGGGTCCCAAGGCCTTGGGCCATCCTGGACTGCTTTCCTAGGCCACAAACAGGGAGCTGAACGGCAAGGAGGGGCCACCAGGACACAAACTGGTACCCATATGGGATCCTGGCATGTGCAAAGCAAGGACTTCAGCCACCAGACTACCATGCCAGGCCCGTTATGTCACATTATTAATGTGCTGTAAAGCTATGTGCCCCTTCAAAAATTTCAGGGTTCTGAAAAAGGTTTGGAAAGTAATTCAAAAGAAAATTTACTTTGGTGCAAAATATTTGAAACCCACATATATGAAGTGCTTTCAGAAACTTAAAGTAGTTTAAAATGTCTATTTAGGTATGAACATTTTGTGGTCCATGCATAGTTTTGCATAATACAAAGTATTCAAGAATTCTTGAAGTACCTTCATATTTATTTTGCAAAGCACACTACTCTTATCAACTTACCCCGGGTCACATTAAATGTGGGCATAATTCATTTAATGTTAGTACAAATAGGCTAAACAGTTATTTTTCTCTAAAATTTCTTTTCTGGCTAGAAATACAAGTGGTAGGTAGAAAACAGAGCATAATATCAAGTTTTTGTAAAGTTTCTCCTTAAGTGGTATCTCTTCTTGTTAGGACAGTCCAGTTAAGTTCATCATCCTGTACCTTGTTCATTTGAGCATTTACTGAGAATTTTTTCCTGTTTTTAAATCAAAATGTTGCATTAACATATCAGCCATTATTAAGCTCTAGATTAACTGTGTGACATTGGCAGATCTCTACTTTTGCCTAGAATTGTATGAGACATCCATACACAGTGACAGAGTTTCCATTAAAGCATAGTTAAATCCGAAGACCATCTCTGATAAACCCATCTCTTTGGCAGATCCTTCCAAACACAACTAAGACCTCCTTACAGGAACAACAAACAGAACACTCACTGATAAGTTGATCACAGGTTAGATGAGAAGGTGACAGACAACTCCTTTAAGGCTTAGATGGTGGTGGGTCAAGACTGGAGGCAGGTGCCTCTGCTGGCTACCAAGAGAGCCAGCTACTGTGCTGAATCCTGCAAGACGTCCAAGAATCGTAAGCACATCGGCCAGTCTGATCATGGGAAGCTGGGAAACTACCAGCACCAGCACACATGAAACAGGCACAGAGAACAGACCTGGGAGGGCACTGCCTTCCAGAGCCCAAGAGAAGCGGCAACGTTCTTGCTGCTGCAACGCAACCACTTTTCATGATTTGATGTGGACGCTGACATTTCTATGTTTTGCGGAAATGACATTAAAGAACACAAAGTACATACTTGATACAACACTAAACACCCGATTTCCTTTCCTCAAGAAAGTTGATAAACTTGTAACAGTTCAAGATGTTTAATGGTCACAGCGTAACAGCACTACGGTAGCAGCAATTTCCCAGTGCTATCCCAGTCCTGAGTTCCCCAAATACATCACCAAAAGTCAAGTATCAATGCAAATACACATAAGGTGGTTTATTCAAGTTTGGCATGCGAGAGCTCGGGACTGGTCCATCACTCCATCACCGCTGCAGTAACATCACCAGACAGAAAACGGCAGGGTTTTTATACAGTTAACCAGCCAATCAGAATCACAGGTTTTCATTATCTTATTTGCATAGGGGCAATGGCTATGCAAATGACTCTTTAAGTGATCAAGTCTTATCTAAAGCGCACACCAAGGTATTTTTCCCCCTTGAGAAAGGACTTGTCATATG